GGAACCCTCTGGTGGCCAATAACTGAACTGCGGAGAGAGGCACAAGAAATACCCGGGGAAGAGCTATGAGAAAGGAGCGTAGATGGGGAGAGGGAGAAAGAACCAGCCCTCCGCCCTCCTATGGCATGAAAAACTCACCCTGCCCAGGTACTTCCAGTCCAGAAGGTCAGAGAGCCGCTCGGTGCGGTTGCGCTGGATGATGCGCTGCCGCCGGGTTTGCTGGCAGAAGCTGTAGAGGAACGAGGTCAGCTGCGTGCATGACTCGTCCAAGCCCCGGAAACGCCGGTCCACAATGTAGATACCTAGGAGAACCAGGGAGGTGTGAAGGAGGGGCTATAGTTCAGTGCCAGGGCCCACGCTTTGCACACGGGAGGTCTCAGGTTCAAGCCACGGCATTTCCAAATTTGGAGGTTAGATCTGGTTAGGTCTGGCAGAGACGCCACGGCACCCACCCTCCCTGCAAGAGCACAACTCCCAATACCAACCGTAAGCTGTTGGGTCTGCTATGTGTTCCTCCATGAAGCAGCCAAAGCCAGAGAGGTTGGTGGAGATGCTGGGAATGCCCATAACGGTGCATTCGGCTGGAAAGAGACACACAGATTATGTGAAGCTGTGCACGTTAAAGCCCCTGCGGCTCAGCACACGGCTGAAGAATTCAGGCAGCCCGCTGGTGGGTCTTTATTACTACAGAATATACATTGAACAAGTTAGGAGACCGAGGAAGAACAAGCCCCAAGGTGGGGGAGCTGTTCAGGATTCTCTGCAGGATCCGTTGAAAGAGCATGATGGAGTGAGCTCCCATCTCTAGTTCCAGCTCCTGCCAACCTAGCAGTTCGAAAGCAAGAAATTGCAAGTAGATAAATAGGGACCACTTTGGTGGGAAGGTAACAGTGTTCCGTGCGGCTTGGTGTTTAGTCATGCCGGCCACATGACCATGGAAACGTCTTCGGACAGCGCTGGCTCTTCGGCTTTGAAACGGAGATGAGCACCGCAACCCTAGAGTCGGATTCGAACCTTTACCTTTACCTTTACATATAAAGCAATCTACATGAAACGGGTATTTGTTGTTGCACAAAATCCATAGCGTGTGAGTATTGTAGTAAATGATTTTGCTAATGTATCTTTTTTGACTCCTTGTCATTTTTGTCACGGTTGTTTCAATTGGATTTCCATCTTCTCCTGGGATCTCTCACTTCTGGCTCCAACCTACAGGTGGGGGCTGGAATTTCCCCAGAATTATCTCCATACTCCATTCCCCTGGAGAAAATGGCAGCTTCAGGGGGTGGGCTTCACAGCTTCCCATCCCTCCCGTCCCCAAACTCCACTCTAACAAGAGTCGGCCCCCAAATTTCCCGACCCACAGTTGGCAACTCTATGCAGCAGCCATTTTGTTGCTGCGGCCACAACTTTGCATCAGGATTCCCAAGTAAGGATCGGCATTTGTCACAAATCTAATTTTGTGACAAACATTGCCGGTTCGTGGTTCGCGATCCAGAGGTTTGTACCCATCCCTATCCACGACCCTCCACATGATTTCGGGGGTTCATGGTGGGAAGCGAGCGGGATTGCTGAAATGTAGGGTTGCCAGGTCCCTACCTGGCATCCAGCAGGGGAGAGAGGCTGTGTGTCCGGGAGCTTCGCATGCGCCGCGGTGACGTTACTCGGAAATGACATCATCACGCTGGGCACGTTGTTGAGGGACACTCTAGCATTTGGGCTTGAAACTCTATGGTACCACAGAGTTTTAAACCCAAATGCTAGAGCGTCCCCCAACAATGTGCATGGCACAATGACGTCACCCCTGGGTGATGTCACCATGCCAGGCAAGTTGGCCCGATTCAGGCACTTTGGGAGCAGAGTTCCCTCCGGCGGCCGGATCCGGGCCAGTGGGTTGGGGGCCCTTAGAACGGGCAAACCCCCACCCCCCCAGGGAGACCTGGAAGCCCTACTGAAATGGCTTGCATCCATTTCAGCCTGTTAGGCTAAAGTAGATGCAAGCCATTTCATGGATCCATTTCCCTGAAATGGCTTGCAAAAGCCATTTAAAGGGAACATTCCCTTTACCACTGCTCCAATCCATTCTATCCATGTGCCAGAACCTGCCCCTGCCCCTTTGATGGCACCTGGTATTTTTGGCCACTGTGTGACAGAGTGTTGGACTAGGTGGGCCCTTAGCCTGATCCAACATTGGCTTCTCTTATGTTCTCTTATGAAAGAATAACTTAACACATACTGAGCACTGCGAACTGACCCTCAGACAGACCTTTTCCTCATTACTCCGTACTTCCCACAACCACCCTGTGAGGTAGGCTAATATCATCACTTCCATATTGTAGATGGGAAGGCAAGCCTGGGAGAGAGGGACTTGCCAAAGGCCAGCCAGTTGGCTCCTGCCCAATGCAAGATTTGAACCAAGGATTTTCCTAGATAACACACTTTGTCTCTTGAACAGTGTCACAAATAAAAGCCCGCCCACCCCCGCCCCCCGGCAAAGTTTGCCACCACAGACAAGGATTTATTAGACCACCTCCCCACATGGATCTAAATCACTTGTGATTTAAAAGGGAGAACAAAACACAAAGGAAAGGTTTCTTGCCTGCTCAACTGGAGCCAAGCAATGGCCACCGTAAGTGAACAGACAACCAACTATTTAAATGCCGGGGCCAAGAGCCCTCCAGGAAACACCAGGCTGAACTGGGATCAGTGCTTACAGATAAGGTTAACTCCTGGCCTCCTTGAGGTTAACTCCTGGCTCTTACCTTTAAAGCCCTATATGGTCAGGGACCTATCTACCTGAGGGACTGCCTTTCCCCACATGTTCCCCAGAGAGCTCTAAGATCGGGCTCCCAAAAATCATTTGGCCCTTCCAGGCCCTTAAGGAAGCCAGGTTTGCTGTGACGAGGGCCAGGGCCTTCTCTGTGGCAGCCCCTTACTAGTGGAATGAGCTCCTGGATGACATCAGGGCCCTACGGGACCTTGTTACAGTTCTGCAGGGCCTGTAAAACGCAGCTCTTCCACCAGGCCTTTGAGTAGGACCCGCTGCCACGAATATTCCACCTCTGAGATTCCATCATCCATCTACCCCATTACAGGACCTTTTACAGTTCCGCAGGGCCTGCAAGACGGAGCTCTTCCGCCAGGCTTTTGAGTAGGAGCCGCTGCCGCCACTACTACCACCGTGTAACTGCGGTCCAGTACCGCCGGGTTAGGCAATGGAGCAATTGGAATATCGTGGCCCATGGCGTCCCCCTTCCTGACCTCCTCCTGATATGCAATGGGGGAGTGTGTAATTATAGTCTTTCATGTATCCTGTTAGGTGTGAATTTTAGCTTCAACTGTTTTAATCTGTTTTATCTCTATTGCACTTTGTGCCTTGTAAGCCGCCCTGAGCCTGCGTGCGGGGAGGGCGGGGTATAAATGAAATAAATAAATAAAAAGAAAAAGAAAAATGTTCCCTACAACAATCTACCAATGTCCATCCCCAAGGGCAAAATAACCCTACTAGGTTTGTACAGGAGTAAATTCCATTCCCTTCACTGCAAGTTTCCTTTTACTCTAATTAATTACATCCTCTTCTTTCCAGGACAGATCACATTCATTCACAAACCGATTGCTAATTATTTTGTTTTTGCTGAAGGGCTGATGTGGAGATGGTCTACTGCCTGTAAATTGGACTAGGCAAATAATTGTACAGGGACAATTGTACATAAGAAAAGCAATGTTGGGTCAGGCCAGTGGCCCATCCAGTCCAACGCTCTGTGTCACACAGTGGCCAAAACCCAGGTACCACCAGGAGGTCCACCAGCGGGGCCACAACTCCAGAAGCCCTCCCTGCTGTTGCCCCCCAAGCACCAAGAATACAGAGCATCACTGCCCCAGACAGAGTGTTCCATCTATAACTTGTGGCTAATAGCCATAGATGGACCTCTGCTCCATATGTTCATCCAATTCCCTCTTGAAGCTCTTGATACTTGTAGCCGCCGCCACCACTTCCTGCGACAGTGAATTCCACGTGCGAATTGCTCTTTGGGTGAAGAAGGAATTCCTTTGGGTCTATCAACACCATTAGCGGCAGAAGCTAAACAGAGCTTCCATAAGCAGGAGCAGTCTACCTCTGAGTATGAGATAGAAAGGTCAAACTACAGGGGGAAGCCTTCTGGCCCAGCAAGTGTGTTTCTGGGCTTTCCGTTTGTTGAGAAGAAGATGCTGGACCAGATGGACCCTCCTTGGTTTGATCCAGTAGGGCTCTTTTGGTGCAAGTCAATTAGCTCACCTCTCCTGGAGGGATTCCCACACATAAGCGATCCACGGCTGGCTTTTTGTTCATCCGGTAAACCTGGAGACAGGATAACCCAGCTGATCAACTGGAAACAAATACACACCTCTGCCCCATTCCTCATGGGAGCTCTTGAACCCATGAAGCCGCTTCCTACTGAGTCAGACCACTGGTCCATCCAGGTTAGCATTGTCAACTCTGACTGGCAGCAGCTTCCTAGGATCCCAGGACTTTCACATCACCTCCTACCCAGTCCTTTCAACTGGGGAGGTCGGGGACTGAGCCTGGCACCTTCTGCATGCCAGGCGGATGCTCTACCACCGAGCCACAGCCCCGGCCTGGGTGAAAGCCTGCCAAGCAGAAGAGACAAGTGGGATCGCTGTGGCGAGCGCACGTTTCCGAGCCCTGCCACACCACTGAGACTGGCCCATCAGTAGTCTTGGCCCTGAACTCAACACGGCAGCACATTCCAAGAGCCACAGTGGCGTAGGGGTTAGACGTCGGAACAGGACTGGAGAAACCCGGGTTCAAACCCCAGCTTTCATCGCAGAATGGCTGTGAGTATAAAATGGAGGCGGGGAGAACCAGGCGCATCATGCAGTGTGCAGGTGGAGGGGAAGTGAAAGCAAGACAGAGAACACTAAAAAGCACCTGCCCTCACCTGGATGGGCCAGGCTATGAGGAGGAGAAGGAGAAGAATACGATGACAACAAAGGAGAAGGAGAAGATGAGGAGGAGGAGGAGGAGGAGACGATGGAGGCGATTGGATTTATACCCCGCCCTTCACTAGGAGTCTCAGAGCAGCTTACAAACTCCTTTCCCTTCCCCTCCCCACAACAGACACCCTGTGAGGTAGGTGGGACTGAGAGAGCTCTGACAGAAACTGTTATTTTTCAGGAGCAGCTCTTGACAGAACTACGGCTTGCCCAAGGTCACACCAGCAGCTGCAAGTGGAGGAGTGGGGAATCAAACCCGGTTCTCCCAGATTAGAGTCCGCGCACTTAACCACTACACCAAATCACTACACCAAAGGCAACCTTTGCTGACCTTTGTGCCTCTCC